AAAAAAATACGCCACTGTATAATTGTATAACATACAAATGCATGTGGAAGCGAATGGTTAAAAATGTGTTTTCATATTACAATACAACCTTCACCGCCACCCTCTTAAGTCTTACATTTTCTAGGAAAGTCATCACAGATCGACACACACAATAATATTATACTGTTGCCACCGCTAAACCGATGGAATGTACGGCGTCGACATCGACATAATATGCGCAGTAACAATGGGGTGGTTTTGGTCAAGTAAACCTCGCGTCGGCGCCACTCGTATAGTTGACACACAAATAACAGATACAAAAAAAAAACCGTACTGTCCATATTACGGCGGTGTTTCGGGCAATTGTAAAATCTCCCGATGCTAAACTTTCCCGGGTCTACTCCAGTACTACCTGACGGAAACATCATGTAACATGTAGTTTATGCATAACATGTAAACTCTCATGGGTCTAGTAAAAATCATAAAATAAATTCAATTTAAATATTTTAAGTTTCTTTTAAAAATAGTCAATAATAATAATAATGACATAAGTGACAAATATAAAATATACGTAAAAATGTTAAAATTATTGTATTTGATAATAAGAACATACAGATTTTAAAAAAGTTAGGGAATCTATTTTTTTTTCTAAAAAAATGTTTTAACATTTAAAACAACTTAGGAGAGTTTATATACTTCCTACAGGTAACTATAAAATTAACCCGGGGGAGCTTACACATTTACTTTAGGTAAACATAATTTTGACCCGGGAGAGTTTACACATTTACTTCAGGTAAACATAATATTAGCCCGGAAGAATTTACCATTGGAAGAGTTAACTATTTTTAAAAACCGGTAGAGTTTACCACCACCCGGTGTTTCAATGATCAAAAATCCAGTGATTCCCAAATTGTAGTTCGTGACTTAGAAGTCACTCAGAATAGTCAGAARCATATGTTTCGTGGATCACGGAAATTTTTTATAATATAGCATCATATTTATTAATATATTCCTATAAATATAGTATATAATATATATAAAAATAAAAAATTATATTTTATGTATAAAATACGAGTTAATGATACAGTATTTTCCGTTAAACTATATTGTACAATGTACATTTATTACTTTTGAATAAAGGTAGTTTATAATTCCCGTGTGATTATTGAATGTTATAATATTATAACCTATAAGGCTATAACGTATCACCACAAGTCATTACACTTTATTTTTTTGATCGAAAGTAGTTCCATAAATAATTWTAATACATTCTTATATAATAATTATTAATATCATTATAGATGAGTCTCATTAAACAACAAAATATATTGGGTSTATAAAAATAATTGTGATTTTAACATTTACAACTTTAATGTATTAGAATTTCGTAAAAACTCTGCAGCGGCATGATTATTAGGCTCATTGAAATGGTATTCTTTATTTGAATTTATTACAAMATATTTCAATAATTTTGTAAAAGAAAGTTGTTTTTCGATATTTGAGATTCTTTACTTGACTCAGATAACATAAAAATTAATTTTATGAACAATTTATTATGTTAAATAAATCGTTTTGAAAATTATAATCGTTCCAGTGGAAAAACATTATGATATCGAAAATTGGAATTTACGAAATTCCTTATAATTATAAGTAACAAAAAATAAAATAAAAAATATCTYGGATATATTTCATTAAATTGTATACAAAATCTTTAGAACATTCCGTACTTAGAGATTAGGTAGGTATGTGATAAAGGTGATAATATTTCGATTTGAAGAAATCGAATAAATTTATGGATTTATATTATATTAACTTGATATTTTAAGTTTTAACAAAACAAATTATGTATATAAGTCATAATTCATATTCTGAAAACCTGAATTTTATAAATTATTTTATTTCATAATGTTTAATTTACATGGTTATTGCTAATAACTTTATTTCAATGTACCTACCACGAAATTTAAAAAAATATATTATCTACGTAAAAATTAATATAATATTATAATATGTGAATTATTATTATTTGAACTTACATACGATGTTAATCAAATATTGTATAACCATGTGGTATATTACTTTATCACTATATTACTATATTAGTATTACAAAACAATAAATTCAAAAAATGGTCTGGTATGTATACCAATGTATTGTACGTTTAAGGTACATTTTGTACTTATGTATATTTGATAGTCGATAAACGGAGAGTGCATCTGTAGACCACCTACGCTGCGCCTTCTAATATTATACAATATTGAATTTAGGTACTAAGGTACCTTACCTATTTCATCCTATAACAGATATAAAATACGTATTTAAACCTTGTATATTTGTAATTTGTAATTTACTAGTGAATTGATAGTTGGTGCCCGGGGGAGTCAAAAAAAAAATAATTAAATTAAAAAAAGACCCTAATTCTCGTAGAATTTTAGTATCTAGTTGGAATGTTGGCGAAA